AAAAAATCTAAGATGTTTTCTATTTTATGCCATTAATATGAGCTAGACCGCTCAAATTGCAAAATTATTGAGTTGCCGTCATTTTTTGTTTGAAAATTATGCTTTGTGAAACTTCAATGAGAAATGAGAAATATTTCTTCAGACATGATGCTTTTTGTTTTCTATTATTACCTTGTTCGCACTCTATATTTTTATGAAACTTCAATGAGAAATATTGCTTGTTGAAATTTGTAGGGGTTTTCATTTTGATTTGGTATGCGTTGTTTTCATGTTGCTCAATAGTTGTTATTTTTTGTTTTGTTGTTTATCTGATTTCTTGCATAACTGTAATCTGCTTTATCTATTCTATTTTGTATAATTATTATTATTGATGTTAATTTAATTTAACAAATCTCCTTGTTGCTTTTAGTTAATTTAATTATTATGTATGTATATATGACTAATTGATTAATTTTTATTTTTAGAAGAGGATGAGGAGGAGGAGGGAGGAAGAAGGAGGATTGAAAGAGAGAGAAAAATATCAGTTATTTGTTTGGGCTGTGTCGCATTACTCCCCAACATACATGTTAGTATGTTAAGTGCTCGTAACTGCTTTGTTCTAGATATTGGAAAAAAATCAATCAAAATGTCAATTCCCTTCAGTTGACCAACCATATTAGTACTTCGGACGTTTCTTTTCATGAACAAATGGTGTTGCCTCGTCACTTTTTGCCAAATGACATTTTTCATGGTGGTATTATCGAAGAAGGAAATATATAGACAGTTACACAATCATTCATTTAAAATTTGGGAAATTTACATACTTAGGCAAGCTATAAATCTTATTTGCAGATATACAATACACCTAAATTTTCATCATATCGGACTTTTATGGAGATAGTATTTTCAGTAATACAATTTCTAACATTGATCTCAAAGATCTCGGCACCTTTAATTTCTTCCGTAACAGACGCAATTAAGACAATTTTTTGCAGACAGATTTTCCAAAAATCATACCAAATGTGCAACTTACCATTGATAGCTTTGTAAATAGACTTTTCATACCAAATTCAATCGAGATCGATTTACAGAGTCCGATCCAGTCGAGATCTCCCNTAGGATATGGGATTGGCAAAAAAAATTCGGTAGAGCAAAAATTCGGTTAATCGGCATCTTAAATTCGAAAAAAATCGTCCAACCACCAAATATATGTTCAGATATACTGTGTATATACATCAGATAAACATGATTTGATAGTTCTCCATTATTAACCGTATAGTTATACATAAGATGAACCACATATAAACAATTCTCAAAGAGATTAAACATAATACACAATTCTGAATTAATGATTGCAAAAATCTAAACCGAATATAGTTATACACAAGATAAACAACATATAAACTATTCTGAAACGAGATTGATTGACCTCACCACTCCAAACGTCACTCCTTCATCTCCTCAACGAACCCCGGTGCATCTTCGACGTTGCACGGGTGAATCATAGCATTGCTCGAAAACCGATCAATGAGATTGAGAAAAAATCTGAAAAAGAAAAAAGAAAAAAACATGGAAGAAATTGATTGATACTTGACGAATCCGACGGAGGAGGACAGATTCTAATCTCTCAGCCGCATGTGGGGAGCTACATGTTGCAATCAAGCGTTGTTGGAGCTACGCCAGCGAGCCACGCATCAGAGAGAGAGAGAGAGGGGTTGCGAGAAAGTTTGAGAGAGAGAAAGAGGGAGAGAGAGAGAGAAAGAGAGTGGGGTTGCCATGGAATATTAAATCTCAATCGTACTTGTAATGAAAAGTTTAGCATTTCGTATTTTTTAATATTATTTGCCAAATAATTAGTAAGATTAAAATTTTAGGCTAGATATAACAAATAAAGATTTATCTAAACAAATTATCCCAACCTACTTTAAAATTTTGGGCTGTCTTCAATTTTACGCATTTGGTTCCGTATACAGGGTCTAATTTAAGAACTATTTTCACCCAAATCTTTCTTCTATAAGCTCCTCTGCATTTGATTCTAAGGTTGAATAAGAATTGAAGATGTCGAGTTTCCTCGAAGATTCAAGGAAATTCGAGAAACACGTTACCATTGGTAAACAGTATCCTTTCCACTCACGGGCGTAATTGGAAAAGCTCATCTCCCTCCAAAATCAAATACTTTTCTTGCCACAAATCCTGTCAAACTTTTAATCACAATAGACTATATAAGCATGTACCACACCTAGTGTACACAGGTCAGAGAAAGGGATAGGCGTTAGCAAAATGCTGTAGCTCCTAACTTACTATATATACAGCTTTATTCACTTGACGCGATTACGGATATCTTTATTGTCAGCAATAGATCGAATTAACCGTATTTACTGTTATCCAACGACTTTATCCTGTCCATCAATTGCTGAATGGTATTTCTGGCTTCCTGAATACAAAAACAAGACTTGCCCATAAGGTGAGTTGCAAGAACTTATTTAAATCAACTAAAGCAGCAGTAGTTTAAAAAAAAGGGTGAACCTTTAAATTTAATCTCAATTTTTGTTCCTCCTTGTCGCGACGCTGCTTCTCTTCCGAAAATATATCTATCAAACTCTCCTGCTCTGCTTTTAGTTCCTCATATTTTTGTGTTGTTTCTTGCAGCTGGTCGAATAAGAAAGGAGTCAGTTTAAATAGGACAATCAAAGTTAATATCAAGCAGGTTTTGGATTGTTAGAAAAGTTGGATGGCAACATGATATTTCACAGGGTTAGAAAACCAGGAAGTGAAGGTTCGTTTTTTTTTTTTTTTTTGCTTTTAATGGAAATTTTGGTTTTGGTAGGTTGTAGTGTACTGAACCCATATTAAACTTTAGGAACTGGAATAATAGATAATCAGTGCTAATACTATTTTATAATGGAGTTGTGAAATTAACTACGAACAAAAGGCTGCTCCAATGCATTGCATATAAGACAATCAGAAGCACAAATTTATCACAATCTATGCCCACGTAAAATGTACGACATTTATGTCAGAATGGATCTACAAAGATTTTAAAGGTTGTTTAAATTAAGGATCATGCTACACTAACATAATGTTTGACATAATACACGTGGCAAGATCGTGCAGTTTTACACATCATATCTACTTTAAATTCAACAATGACTACTCTTACACATAATTTATGTCATCCATTATGTTAAAAAATTGTCAAAGGAACATAATTGTTCAATTAATAAGGTAAAAGTGGTATTTTCAATATCAAATATGACTGCAACAAGCAATAACAATACGGATCAGTAAGTATTGCTGCCTCTGGACACAATAAAATTTGGTTTCGCACGTGCTTGTTCAAAATGACCAATATAAACTTTTGAAAGTAAGAACATATAGTTAAAACCCAACATTTTCGCACTACCCAAGACTTCCCCAGCAGCAGAATACTCTACAGATTTTTCTTCCCTCTCATTGAACATTATATTGGCATAAAAAGATCAAGCATGATTTTGTTTCCTGCAATCACTTGCTTTAACATACAAGACTATTTACATCATAACATTGATAGACGGATTTTGATACTCAATGAGCATAAATGTATTTGACTTCTTTCTTATAATTCACTTAATACACCAGAGAGACCAAAAAATGAAAAAGCCGGCCAGAATCTTTGGATTAAAGAAACTATTAGTAGCATTGCTAATTTAAATGCTTGAACTATGCAAGATATCCACATATTAGGCACCAAATTACATCTATTTGTATTTTAAAACTCGAGGAGTTAGGAATCACAATCATGCATTGAACAAAACAAATATCATCATGCCTGGAGGTATTTTATATAATTTCAGGCACAAGATTTCATTAACCTGAGTATCTTGTTTCACACGGGCAAAATGGTATCGATTATTACCTGAGCTTCGAGAGACTTGGTTCTTTCTTTTTCTTTCAGTATATCATGCAGCAAATCACCAAGAGTCTCGTCTTCTTTCCATTCCAATCTGTGAATTCAACAAATATAAAAATTATTTGGCAGGTGATATAACAACATATAAAATCACAATTCAGATAAGGAATTAGGACCTTTCTTTCAATTTGAGGTTCTCTTCTCTCAACTGAGCTAAAGATTGGGAACTTGAACTTGGTGAGAATTCATTGTTATTATAACCATTCTCCTGTTTATCACATCCAACAACAAACATAAAGTCAAAACTAAGAGATCATGTTATGGAGAATGAGCAAGACAGATAACAAGGAGAAATGTTTTATATGTTTTCATATGCATAATTCCTCTGTAAATTGTATGTGACAGATTACAGAATTTACTCTGAAGTAAAAACCATCAGAAAGAAGTAACTACGCGGAAAGATTTAACTTGTGTCAACTGGAAACAATTTTTGCTTATTGATGAATACTCAACCAGTACTCGAGAACCATTAAAAGCAACTCTCAATCTTATTAAGTCAAATCCTAAATTCCTAATTTTAAAAGTTTAAAAGTAGGAGCCTGGAATTCTTTGGTATTCAATATGAAAAAACTTAAACAGATGCTAAATAATATTCAAGTAGAATATTCACCTGTGGGTGTGAACTTCTCGTTGCCCGACCAAGCGTTTCAGCAGCTAAGTTATCTTTTGCAGCTTCACGACGTCTCAAACCTGATGGTTTCTGCAATCCATCCTTTTCATATGTATTCTTGGATGATGAACCATTGACCTGGCTTCTAGGAGTTCGATTTTGTCTATAATTGTTTCTTTCATCCTCTTCAGAAGATGAGGATAGCTCAGTGTAACTTGGTTGCTTCCGTCGTGATCTGACATCCCCCTTCCCACTTGAATACTCGTTGTTATTGCCCTTCTCCATGAAGTTGGCCTGTGTCTTGTTCCTCAAACCGATATTTTTCTTCTTTCGTGGACTTCGATGATCAGAATCAGGTGATATCTCTGGAAGCAAACAATCATCAGTAAATATGTCGAGCCGTTCAATTTTCTCATCTTTCTATTTCCCACTTTTTTATTTTCTCTTTCTCATTTTTGTGTTTAGTTTTATTTATCGTGTGACTGGTGTTTAGGGGGATTCTATCATTCTTGAGGTACTGATTCACAGTAAAGATATGAATGAAACTTAGGTCTCTATTACCTCTTTCATGAACATTTTTATTTCGTCGGGCAGCGTAGCCAATTTTGTGACAGTTACAGGTCCTAACAGACGTAAAGGAAAGAAAACAATTATATACATATCTAAGCAAAACAGAAATTAAGTCATTAGACTCCAGAGACAGAGGACGACTAACCAATAATTCTTTTGCATTTGCACTAATCTTGTCTCTAGTCTTGCAAGAACTGTAGTGCGCTCAAAACCTTGCTTATCATGTGCTGGTTCAACAAAGTTGGCCTCAAGCACACCTGTACACAGGACAACACAAGGTATTAACTAACATAATCCACATAATCACACTTCTTAAGTAATTCTTTACAAAAATACCTATAACCCCACGACCATCACTACCAGGGGGTGTCCAAACTCTCCAAAATGGCTGGAAACACAAAAATGCTTAAAGTGAGGAATGCTTTCGTACATAGATCAATTAGGTGAAAAATAATCTAATACTTGATAGAAAAAATACAGAAGAAAAATTTTATGTGTATTGGTGGAAAACAACTTTAACTATTGCAAAACTCGGGATGAAGTTGACTTATATTAAGTAAACATGAAGCAAGCGTCAAGTAATCTGCTAACCGATTTTTTTTTTTCCTTTTGTATTTTTTCATTTATGCAGTCGACTAAAAATTAAAATAAAAAAGTGATATCAATTACCACCAATGAATTTAAAAGGCCTTAACTTTTTGGGGCTAGAAACAAACAATTAACAGATTTTTGGGGCTAGAAACAAACAATTAACAGATAGTTACCTTGATAAGTCTGTTTTTGTGATAGACATTGAACCCCTGAACATCAATATGTGCCTTTGCATCCTTTACAAACCCAACGGTAACTACAGCCATCATCTATCGCATGCATAGATATTAGTACACGAAGTTGCCACATGCATAGATTAGATATATATTGAAATCAAACTCGTTGAAACCAAACTCAGTGACTGGGAAAGTTACATTTGAGTCCTTTGGGATCCCATCAGCCCCAGGTTGAGGACGGTATGTAACTTCCTGTGACATCATCATATCATTCACAACATTATGATGCTCAACATCTTCACCACGCAGAATAATCCGGAAATTAGGAGGAACTCTGAGGTACAAAATAGCTGCATAACTCTGCAATTTTAAAATTAGATTCCATTAAAAGAAAATTCATCCTGATTGCTATGTAAATGAGTAAGTGTATATGGATGCACAAATGGTAAATATTTGGGGGTTATTTAAAACCAAATAAGCACTCATAGTCGAGGAAAGACACTATACATTTCATCTTTTCTTACATTATACTGAATGCTAATTAAACGTAACTGGTTTGCTACACAAGAGCAAACCTTACATTTCTAAGACACTGATTGCAGCTATAATTGAAACTTACTATCTGGTTCAGAGTTCGGTTTTCTCACAGATATGTGACAGCAGATGCATGAGCAAATTATGGAAACCCAAAAAGTACAAGGGCAATGGAGAGAAATGCGCGCGAGATGATGAGGATAGCAAAGCCTGCTATGAGATGATACATATTACAGCATACTAATTAAAAAATATTCGGGAGTAAAGAATCACAATAACACCCAACGGACGAGGGATGAAGAACATAAACTGCAGTCATTACCCTCAATGAATGGCGATAGGTCAGGAAGTGCTTGGAGTTGGGATATTTCTTTGCCATATCTATGCTCTTCTCATCTCTGTTGACACCTCTGATTTGGATATCCTATAAATATAATGAAAACAAAGAATGTCAAGAGACTAGAAGCACCTACACATATAAGCTTCTAAGGAGGCTTACATGTAGATCAGTATCAAAATCCAGTTCCAGCAGGCCCTGATCATCCTCCCAAAGATTGTATATAATTATTTGAGTACCCTGATCTTGCATCTGATTAAACTACAAAGTAGAAAGATATGAAATTAGCATAGTAGTCAATAATCATATCATCAAATGTATCAACATCTTAATTGCACAAAGGTAGTGCCCACATCAACCCTCATCAGAAGCAAGGGGACACCTTAGCTCTCAATGGGTACAAGTAGGTAATGAGATTTCAAAAATTCTTATTGGTATAGCACTAAAGTTGTATTAAATGTTTGATTGATTCTCCATCAAATATTACATCTTCAGGAGAATAATGAATAGTAAAATTTTGGTCTCAATGAGTATGATAGATCCAAGCCAAATAACATTTTTACATGCCCAGCTCACAATCAGGGTGGCTTTGATAAGAAAAAAGGCCTGCCTCTGCAGGTTTGACATATAATATAAATTCACTGTCCATTTAGAGTAAGAATTCGAAGGACCCTCACAGCCTTGGTATGCTGTTAGTGTCTGTGACTTGAACTTAAATTGCAAGTTTGAAAAGACCATTTAGAACCTGAAAAGAGATTTTTCGAAAAAGCATTATGCCATGGGAAATTGTTCAAGGTGAGAGGCTCAAAAACATACTCAGCAGTTACTTTAACGCATGACCCATTTCAGAAATAAGATCAGACATTATGGGAGGACATTATGACCAGACTTAAGCGTTAATGCAGTTGAAATGGTATTTAGGTAACCCTGATGAGTGGCAGTAGATGTGGGAGTTGAAAGAAATGAAGAAGAGAGGAGATAAGTGTAGATTGAAGGTGGCATTGAAGAAAAGGAAGGAAGAAAAAGAAGTTGGTAGACAAGGTGTGGAAATCTCACAGTCAGGGAATGGAAAGAGAAGATAAGGAACTTACAGGAGATAGTTTTATTTTGAGATTATTTAAAACAAATACATAAAAGGTTATACCATTTTGAGACACCGTCACTTTTTCCTCCCACAAAGCACTTCAACTCATGTTTAATATCATCCAATCACCAATTGCTATTACACATTTTTCCACACAATATCCATAATTCACCATTTCACCTACTCAAAAATCCTAACACCAATCATTATTGTACTATCTGAATAAATGTATAATCCAATTTTAATCATTACACTACTTATGTTCATTCAATTACGAATTTTCATTCTTTGGATACACTCTTATAAAATGAAAATTTTCAACATGAAATGATATCCAACCGCATCTTTACCCTTTCGAGGTTATCTTGATATATTTAAAGTTAAC